ACTAACAAACTACATTTATTTAGCTGATATCCTCTAAGCCTTAACTATGTGCCACACTAACTCTGAGTCTGGCACTATAAAACTTCTGTCTGAACAACTATTCATTTGATTAATGCAGTAACTTTCTGTTATGGCTGCACAGTAGAATCAGATATGATAATTTAGGTTTACTAGTCTAGGGTAATGGTCTTAGCTTGTATTAGATTTGCCTAATTAAAACATAGATTTGTTTTTGTTTGTTTATTTTTATTTTTTTGAGACAGACTCTTACTCTGTCAGCCAGGCTGCAGTGCAGTGGCGTGATCTTGGCTCCCTGCAACATTTGTTTCCTGGGTTCAAGCGATTCTAAGTGATTCTATTGCCTCAGCTTTCCAAGTAGCTGGAATTATAGGTGCACACCACCATATGCCACCAATTTTTGTATTTTTAGTAGAGACAGGGTTTGCCATGTTGGCCAGGTTGATCTCGAACTCATGATCTCAAGTGATCTGCCTGCCTCAGCCTCCCAAAGAGCTGGGATTATAGGCCTGAGCAACCACTCCTGGCTCATGAATTGGTTACACACATACTTGTTAAAACAGATTGGCAAACCTTTCTTCCTGAAATGAGAGATCCAATAGGTCAGGGCTGATGTGTTCTTTTAAGGTAATGCTGATGCTGCTGGTCCAGCGATCATACTTTTGAGAACCTTTCAGCATTACCTAGGCATCTATGTATTAAAATATGTTTTAATAATTTTAATGGTTTAGAGACAGTATTAGAGACTTTTATTGAGAATTAGTAAGATTAAATCTGTTTCCTCTCATTCATTTTGATCAATTAGCTCGAGTTTTCCAGAGTAAAAATGAGGCATTTGTGCATCTTCTTTCCTCTTTGAATGTTGAATGTCCTTTTTTCAGGGATGGAATTGCTTTGCTTTTGGTATCTTCCGGCAAGTGTGATTCACTAGCCTCAAGCAGAATTTCAAAATAAACATACAGTCATTTTTCTCTTTGATATTTGTTTCTGCATCCTTCATCCTTAACATCTACTCTTCCCTAATCCTATGTACTTATTATTCTCTTTCTTCTCCTAACCCTATAACTATGGCCTTTTCAAGTTTGCACCCCCTATAAATAGATGTCTTCTACTCTGCCAGTGTCAACAGCAACATCTATTTCCCGAGTTGTAATTTTTGTTAGGTGCTAGTAATCTGAGGACATTTCTCTCAGTTGCTTCTCAAAAAGTAAAAAAGAGCTGTTATCTCTCTAATCAGTGGCTTTCCCTGGGTGTGGAGATGCTGCTTCCTGGAAAGAGGGTCTTTGTGCTTTGCTAAGAAGAGGGCTGTTTAATAATTTAGATTCTTTAATACTTTTGAACAGCCTGTTTACCTTCTTATCCTTTCTTTAGATGATGACGCCATATTCTTCTGATCCCAGCCCAATCTTTGTAACTCATCACTCTTTAGCAGACTTAACCCTTAAATGCTCTTTTGTTCACCTGTAGTTGGGTTGTGAGTATCATTGCTCCTCAACTCTATGGCTCAGAGTGAAGCAGAAATTACTATTCTGTACCTGCAATGGATGTAGATTCACTCTTGGTAAACTTACCTACTAAGGGTGCATGCTCCGAAAGAGTGGGGGGTAGGGTTGTAGGAGCCAGCTTATCTTCTCCGTATATCACCTGCTAAACTTTGGTCACATAATTAAGTCTTTGTAGTTTATTTCTTATGAATATGCTTTTCTCAAGGCTGAAAAATTATTCACCACATCACAATGTATACACTGCTATTTAGTGATTGGTTAGAAAAACAGGCAAGAGCAAATTGATCTTTCAAATTAATAAATGCTTTTGCATTATCAAATGCAAAGGCCTCCCTATAATTCTCAATTTTTTAGGTAGCATTTCACACTACTGATCATGACTTAATCTTAAATATCTGCTCTCTTTTCTATCCTATCTTCTCTGACAGTGCTATAGAGAATAGGATATTGCTGGCTTGCCTTTCCAGTTTTTTAAAAAACTCTTTTAAATGGCTGTTCTTCCTTCATTTTCCCCTGATTTTCACATTTCCCAAGGTTCTGCCTTCATTTCACTTCTCAGCAGACTCAAACAATCTCTCCCTTATTAATCTTATTAATGTTAATGGCAGGCATCCCATCCTCTTCCATTACTAATGGGAACTGGGAGAAGAAACTCTTGGGACGTAGCTGAACATTTGGGCTACATAATAGGGATAACAGATGCTAATTGGAATGGTATAAGCATTTTACATTTTAATTTTTAATTTTAAGACTAATAATTCTCCTTTTAAAAATTAAAATATAAAAGATAAAAGTCTCAATGAGCCATTATCCCCATTCTTTGTTCCCATCTCCCTCCCCCAAAGTAACCATTGCTAGTAATATAGTCCAACTTTATTTATATATTTGAATATAAATGTTATAATAGAAAGCCTACCAAGCTGGAACTTGTGCTTTTTATTTATCAAAATGTTTTGAGATATTTTTTCTGTGTTAGAATATACAGTTCTCTTTTAGGCAATAGCATTTAAATAGTAGTAATTTTTGTGGCAAAGTATATAAATGAAATCCTGCCTAGGATACCTTGTGGAACTTGAACTTCAATGAGGAGCTTCATGCAGTTTGTCAGGGTGATTCCAAAATTGAAATCATGTTGGTGGTGGTAGAAGCAGTTCCTTGGCTTTCTGGTCTTTAAATACATTGAGGTTGTTAATTTATTTTTTTATGTTGGGGTGGCTGACTTCAACTGGGCTATATAAAAGCAATGGTTCCAGCGCCCTACATATGAATTGATGATGGTAGTGAGCATCCAACTTTCAGTCTTGAACACCTAAGCATAATGGCCAAGTCATTGAATTATAAGGTCTTTAAATGGTATCTTACCTTGTTCCATGGTCCTTGGATTTCTTTGATTATAGATTTTATCGATAGGGAATGCTCATTTACAAGTTCAACTATCAATAACAATGACTTGGATGTCTTTTCTTTAAAAACTAAGATGGTAAATTAGCAATAAATACTCTGGAAATCTCCAAGTATAGTTACGTAGTTATGGGAATTCCGAATCAAGGAGCCAACTGCTTTTGGCAAGTGGCTATGCTGTCCAGTGTATCAATAACAAAGGTGAGTATGATGTAAGGTCACAGCCAAGACTGTGTTCTAGGAAGTGACTCCTCACCAGACACCAAATCTTGTCTTTGTATCTTGATTTTGGACTTCCCAGTCTCCGTAACTGAGAAATTAATTTCTGTGTATTACCTATCCAGTGCATGGTATTGTTATAACAACCCAAATTAAGATATTTAATAAATAATTAGCAAGTACAGTGCAACAGGCAATATGCTAAACGATTAGGGAGAGTAATAATTTTCAGAAGATAAAAAAGGTTTCCAAAAAGACATAGCACTTGAGATGGGCTTTCAAAAAAGGGTAGAAGTTCCTTGGGGAAAGTGTGGTGGTGGGGAAGTTTAGGGTATTGGATATAATACAGGTTTTAATTCACTGATCAATTATAAAGTGCTTGAAGTAAGGGACTATATGTCCTCTTAATGTTTGTGTTGATCCCACTTTTGCACAACCTTTACTTTATTCTTATCAGAAAACACATAGCATGGCCATCCTTAATCACTGAGTTGCAAAATAAAGGTGTTATGTCCTGCCCCTGCAGACATTCTCAAACCTAAGCATGCATCAGAGTCACCTGGAGAGCTTGTTAAAACACAGACTGCTGGCCCCTATTCCCAGTGTTTGGGATTCCCTAGGTTTGAAATAGGGACCTGTAGGGAATGAGAAACATCTTTCTTTCCTGTCACTAGATTCCTGGTTGAGTCCCCTATAAGAAAAGACAGATTAACAAGAGAAATGCATGCAATTTTGTTTAAGTTTTTTGTGGCATGGGAGCCTTTAGAAATGAAGCCCAAAGAAACAGGAAAACCTGTGCATTTTTAGAAGGAACAGTAGACAGTTGTGGGGAAGTATGGTTGGACAAAGGAGGCATGCTGTAATGGTAATAAACTGGGGTGAGTTGTCAAAAGTCTTTTTGTTCAGGTTATTTTTTATGTCCCTATTTCTTTAGAGATAAGGATATTTCTTTCCTGTGGGTATAGGAAGACCACCTCTGGTTGGAGGATCCAATGACCTGCCTTAGAAAAGAAGGATGGGAGAAGGTCAGAAAGTGATCTTAGGTTTTGCTGTTTTCTCAAATAGCAAGGGGCTGTATTTTGGGGTAGCATGTCCTGAACCCTATCAGTGGTGAAAACTTGTATTTCTACAAAGTTCCCAGGTGATGTTGCTGCAGGTTCTGGGATCAAATTTTGAGAACCACTGCTTTAATGTAATTTATATCTAACCACAGCTGCAGCATGCATGTTTTCTGTAAGCATTCAGAATGCTGTGAAATTCTTGTTAAACCTCAAGAATCTTCAAGATGTCCAGTTCTGTCTTGAGGGCAACAAAGATGGGTAGGGGATATAATAATCTTTGTGCAACCTTTGGCACATTACAATGATGTTCTGCAACTAGAAGGGCTCAAATGTGATGCATTGAACACTAACTGGAAAATCAAATAATCATATGGCAAATATTAATAAGTTTCTTATTTAATCAACTTTCTATAAGATGGGATGGATAACATTTTTGAGTTAGAAAAAAGTATAGCAAGGGTTGTCAGAAAAAAATTAAGTTCATCAAGTCCTTCAGCAATCTTCCCTCATGTTTTGCTTTACATATTTGTGAGTGCCATACACAGAACTAAGTCCAGTGTTGACTTGAGTCTGATCAGTACATATATAGGTATATATGTGTGTGTCTCAAATATATCTGAATAAACTTGGTAAACCATAGAACTGAAATATATATGATATATATGAATGTTATAATACATTACATCACAATAATTGATACACAAAATAATACATTATTCTGTATATTAATGGAGAGAGAACAACAGCAAAGACGGGGATGCGAGAGGTTCAAGACAGAAATGCTACAACGTCCAGGCTGTGAAAGTCATTTTATTCTGGAAGAAATGAAGCACCAAAATTGTAACAGTCTTTCAATAACGTCAAACAGAATCATCCAAAGGGCTCCTGGAACAATCGAGGCTAGAACGATCTTGGTCAGTAAGTCCTGCGGACTTGAGAGCAACCTTTCCTCCCACTACCGGTTGGGGAGCCCCGATGTCGTCTCCCGCAGAGCGCCACTTGGCCTGGCCTGCGCTTTACCTTTATTTCCGCCCGCAGAATCCTCCAGGCTCTTCCCGCCAAGGCTCGCGTTTCCGCTGAGGCGTCTGAGCGTAAGCGGACTGCGCATGTGCAGGGCCCGGCCGGTCTAGAGCTTCTCGGTGTCTCTCCGGACCTCGAGCCATGGCGGTGACGGAAGCGAGCCTGTTGCGCCAGTTCCCGCTGCTTCTGCCCCAGAACAGGTCGAAAACCGTGTATGAGGGATTCATCTCAGCTCAGGTACCCGCCCAGTGGTTAAGAGAGCCTCCCTCTCGCAGCGTAGCTGCTCCCAGAAGTCTGTGACAGGATAGGAGGTTAGGGGCCCGGACTTGTGGAGATTGAGAGGGGCGGCGCGTAACGGCTTTCCGGAGACTAGGTTTGAGAAGCGCCGCTGTCGCTGCCACCCGGGTGGGCGCCGCGCGGGATGGGGAGCGAGGACGCGCGCGGCAGGGAGCGGGGGCAGGGGCCACGCCTCCTCTCTCCCTCGCCCCTCCCTGAGTTTGGCTTCCTTTGTTCGGTATCTGTCCCGCAATTGACTGTCCTTTAGTTTGATTTTTTTATTTTTGTAAAGTTTGCCCTAACTTGATTTTAACACCTTCCGTCTCCACGGATATTGATGAGTTCATTGGGGAATCCGGGCTAATTACATTCGTGTTTTCTGTGGAAAGAACATTTTGGAAGAAAACCTTATTTTGGCTCTCAGCCAAGTCATATGTACCTGAACACCCACAGTTGCAATATTTTTTAGAAGAGGCATGACAGCAATGGAATTAATTACCTTTGCTGATTCCAGTGGCCCCTCTTAAGGAGTTTTATTACATTTACTAACACATGTGTAGGGTTTTGAAGTTTATACAGTGCTTTCCAGGTAAATAGCTCATTTAATCCCCAGCCCTTTGAGGCAGAAATTTTTAAAAGAATCATCATTCCCATTTTATGGTTGAAGAAATCAAGGCATGGGAAACCAGAGACGTTATTTGCTGATGTTCTCATCAGAATCCCTTAAACACAGGCTGTGTGATTCCAGTCCTGGATTTTTTTTTCTCTCTCGATGGCACCAGGATACCTTAGGTTAGAATTTTGAGTATAGACTTTTCCTTTCTGACCGTTACACTCAACCTGTGCCCCCTTCCCCATCACACGCATAGTCTTTGAGTATATGTGGAAATTACCATATGACTATCACAGAAAGTAGAGGTTAAAATTCTTTATTCCATATGAAATCCACCTTTCCCTCTCCAATTAGAAGTATTTTTCTTAAATTATCTAGTTGAAGACATGATTCTCGTTTAGACAACATTTAGAAAAGTGATAAAGTATTAAGTTACATTTTTTTTATTTTAGAGGAAGCATGTTATACCTAATTTTAGGCACTTTAAGTAAAATACTATTCTCATGTATGTCTATATCTGCTAAGGCCTCTTAGAAAACAAGTACAGCCATTAGAATTGAGAATAGATGAAAATTTTGTTTATGACCATGCTATAGCTACAATTTTAATTTGTACCTGCCTTACAGTTTATTTAAATCTTAACCTAAAAACTTAACATGTCTAAAAATACTTTGTATACATTTCAGATTTACAGAAAACTAGCAAGGATATACTGTACAAATAATTCTGGTATACACTTTACCTAGATTCACCAGATTACATTTTCTCCATTTGATCATTATTAAGTATGTGTATGTGGGTAGGCATATATATATATATACACACATTATTTTCCAGAACCGTTTGAGGTTAAATTAGGCATAATTCCCCTTTATCCCTAAATACTTGAGCATATATTTCATAAGAACAAGGACACACTCAACCACATTACAGTTAATCAAAATCAGGATAATAATGATATGATACTATTATCTAAGATAGAATCCGAATTTCAAATTTTATTTACGATACAGTTGTATGTTTTATACCCCCAATCCCCTACCATCTGATCTTAAGATCTCACATTACATTTAGTTGTCTTTTCTAACCTGGAACAGTTCTCAGTCTGTTTTGTGTTTTTTTATAAGCTTGACATTTTTGAAGAGTACAGGTTGGCTTTTAGGTAGAATGTATCTCAGTTTGGGTTTGAATGATATTTTCTCGCTATTAAATTCAGGTAATGTATTTTTGGCAGGGATACTAAAGAAAGATCTTTGTGTCCTTCTCAAGGCATGTGAGGTTTACCTGGTTGGTTCCATTATTAATGATGTTAACTTTCCTAACCTGGTTAAGGTGTCACCTACCAAAGTCTCCTTTTGTAATTGATAAGTACTTTTGGGGAGGTACTCTGAGTCATCAAATTTTCACATTCTCTGGTTTTAGTATTGACTTATGCTTGAGTCGACTGTTACTATCATGATTGCCAGATGATCATTTTCTAACTCTTGTCATTTCAACTGTGTTTATGAAGTGGCAGTTTATTATAAGGAGTAGCATTGCTTGCTTTCTCATTTATTTAGTTATATTAGAATGGATGCATGGATTTTTTAAAAAATTACTTGATTCTAATCATTATTTATTTTGATCTCAAATTGTCCCAGGTTTGGCTAGTAAGCAGGTTTTGTATATATAAGTTTTTAAGGCTTTGCATTTCATCTCATCACTGTCTTAAAAGTATCCTATAGATTCTGACATATAGTCTTTTTATTTATTTATTTATTTATTTTTTTGAGACGAAGTTTCACTCTTGTTGCCCAGGCTGGAGTGCAATGGTGTGATCTGGGCTCACCGCAACCTCTGCCTCCTGGGTTCAAGTCATTCTCCTGCCTAAGCCTCCCAAGTAGCTGGGATTACAGGCATGTGCCACCATGCCCAGCTAATTTTTTGTATTTTTAGCAGAGGCGGGGTTTCTCCATGTTGGTCAGGCTGGTCTTGAACTCCCGACCTCAGATGATCCTCCCACCTCAGCCTCCCAAAGTGTTGGGATTACAGGCGTGAGCCACCAAGCCTGTATGTAGTCTTATTATCACTATTCTTAGAAATGATATTCTTGACTATATAATGTCAATTTATAGTTCTGTGTACCTAATAGAAGGTTTTAAACATTTTCTCATGGAAGTTCCTTTTTGGTTTTGATTTTTGTTGCTGATTTCTAGTTTTTCTTGTATTGTAAGTAGACAGTATTGTTTGTAAAAAAAAAAAAAAATGTCTCCATGGAACTTACTAGTACTTTTTCCTGTGATCTAATATACAGTCAGTTTTAGGTGTTGTCTTTATTACCAGATTTTCTCTTTCCTTTTGAGTGAGCTTTGCTAGTTTGTGTCTTTCAAGGAATTTGTTAATTTCATCTAAGTTTCTGATTTTATTGGCTTAAAGTTATTTATAATAGTTCCTTACTATCCTTCTAATGTCTTTAGGATCTGTAATGATGCTCTCTGTGTTGGTTATCTTTTGCTGCTATTTACTTCAAACCTTAGTGGCTTAAACAATTATTGTCTCACTGTGTCTGTCGATTTGCAGTTTGTGAGCAACTTGGATGGTACTTCTTGATCAGAATCTCTCATGATTGTGCAGTCAAGGTGTTTGCTAAGACTTTGATGATCTAAAACAGGGTGTCCAATCTTTTGGCTTCTCTGGGTCACATTGGAAGAAGAATTGTCTTGGGCCATACATAAAATACACTAACACTAACAATAGTTGATGAGCTAAAAAAAAAAAAAATCACAGAAAAATCCCATGATATTTTAAGAAAGTTTATGAATTTGTGTTGGCTGCATTCAAAGCTGTCCTGGGCTGTGAGTTGGTCAAGCTAGAGTTGGAGGGTTTGCTTCCAAGATTGCTCATTCACATGGCTATTGGCCGTGAGGCCTCAGTTTGCTACTGCCCTTAACAGGAGGCCTTAGTTCCTCACCAGACGGATCTTTATAGTGTTGCTTGACTGTTACCAGAACATGGCAGCTAGCTTCCCCTCAGTGTGTGATACAATAGAGAGATCAGTAAAGTTGCACATTGTCTTTAATCCGTTGGCCTCTGAAGTCACACATATTTACTTCTGCTTTCTTCTGTTTGTTACACGCAAGTTTCTTAGTCTGTATTCAAAAGGAGGGAAATTAGGCACCAGCTCCTAGAGGTAGAAGTGTCAAATAATTTATGGATGTAAGTTAAATATACGTTTCATCCTCATATCTGATTTAGGTAATTTATGTCTCCTTTTTTTCCCCTGATACATCTGAATAAAGGATATAAATTTTACTGATTTCTTCAAAAAACCTGCCTTAATTTCATTGATTTTTTTTTCTATTATTTTTATGTTTCCATCTGATAGATTTCTGATCTTAACTGATTTCTTCAGATGGAAGATTATTGATGAGATCTTTCTTCTTTTCTAATACAGATATTTACTGCTTTAAATTATCCTTTAAATACTGGTTTAGCTATATGACACACATTTCGGTGTGTTACAGTTTTGGGGTTTTTTTTTTTTTTTTTGAGATGGAGTCTCACACTGTCGCCCAGGCTGTAGTGCAGTGGCATGATCTAGGCGCACTGCAATCTCTGCAGGTTCAAGCAATTCTCCTGCCTCAGCCTCCTGAGTAGCTAGGACTACAGGCATGCGCTACGACGCCCAGCTAATTTTTTTGTATTTTTAGTAGAGACGGGATTTCAAACATGTTGGCCAGAATTGTCTCGAGCTCCTGACCTTGTGATCCGTCTGTCTCAGTCTCCCAAAGTGCTGGGATTACAAGTGTGAGTCACTTCGCCCGGCCTAGTTTTGTTTTTATTCAGTTCCAAATGCCTTTTAATTTCTACTTTGGTCTGTGGCTCACTTAGAAATATGATTATCTTTCTCAGTATTGAGGATTTTCTAGATATATTTTTGTTATTGATTTATAATTTAGTTTCATTTTAGTCACAGACTATAACTTGTATGATTTGAATATTTTAAATATTTATTGAGCATTAGTTTTATGGCCCATAATATAATCTATCTTGGTGAATATACTGTGTGTACTTTAAAAAGAATGAATATTCTGTTGCTATTGGGTAGAGTATTATATAAATGCCAATTAGGTCAAATTGGTTCATAGTGCTACTCAGACGCTCATTGGGTAGCACTGTGCTCATTGATTTCTTTGTCTGCTTGTTCTATCAGTTAGTGGGGGGGTGTTGAAATCTCCAATGATAACTGTTGATCTTTCAATTTTTACTTTAATTTCTATCAGCTTTTGCTTCATGTATTTTGAAGTTCTGTTATTAGGTACATAAACTTTTAGAATTGTTAAGCACTCTTAATGAATTGACTCCTTTAGGATTATTAAATGACCTTTTATTCTTTAGTAATAATGTTTGCTCTGAAATCTGTATTTTCCAATATTGATGTATAGATTCTTTCTTTTAATTGGTGTTACCATAGTTTATCTTTACTTTTTTCTTTATTTTAAGCTTATTTGTATTTTAATATTTAAAGTGTGTTTCTTCTGTGCTTTGCTTTGTTATGCAATATGGTACTCACTGCCTTTTACTTGGGGGTGCTTAGACCATTTACATTTAATGTGGTTATTCATATGGTTGGGTTTAAATCTACTCTGTTGCTGTGTGTTTTCTGTTTGTCTTACATACTCTTTTTATTTTTTTCTATTTTCTGCATTTTACATTATTTGAATTCTTTTTTATAATTCTGTTTTATCTCCTTTGTCAGTTTATTGGCTGCATGTTTGTTTGTTTTTAACTAGTTGCTTAAAGGGTTTATAATATGCATATTAAATCTATCATGGTCTGCCTTAAAGTAATATTAGGATTCCATTTTTTATGCACTATTAGTTTATCAGCTGTATGATTTTGTCTCTTTTGAATCTGTAAAGATGTTACTGTACTGTCTTGCACTGTTTTCTGTGAGAAATCTCTGCTCTTTTATTTGTTCTTCTGTAAATAGAATTTTTTTTTTCTCTGCTTGCTTTTAAGATTTTTCTTTTTGTCATTGGTTTCAGTCACTTTGATGTGTGTTGTACCTTGGTGTAGCTTTTTTCATGTTTTTCCTTCATAAGGCTTGTGGAGTTTCTTGGATCTGTGAGTATATATTTTCATTTAATTTAGAAAAAATATCTGCCATTATTTTTTCTTTGTTTCTTTGTTCCTCTTTTTCTGTCCTCTGGGTTGGGGACTCCAAATATGTGCATTTAGGTCACTTAAAGTTTTTACAACTCACTCATGGTCTCTTCACCTTTTTTCTCTCCATCTCTTTCTCTTTATTTGGGATATGTCTTCAGGTATACTGATACCTTCTTTTATAAGGTGGAATCTGCTGTTGATACTATCTAGCATATATTTTTTTTGAATCTCAGATATTATATTTTTTGAGGGAGTCTTTCTTTATATTTTTCCTATTTAGTAAGCTCATGCTTTCCTCTACCTTCTTGAAAATATGAATTATAATTATAATTGTTTTAATTTTTAAATCAGGTCTATCATCTGTGCCATTTTTATGTCTGTTTCTCTTGATTTTTCTCTTAATTGTGGGTATTGTCTTGGTTCTTTGCAGGAAATGTATGTGCTTGGTGTATTTTGATTGGATGCTGGACATAATGAATTCTAACTGTTGCACGCTAGATATTTTTATTCTCGAATTTTCTTGAGATTTCTTGTGAGCTACAGTTAAATTACTTCTAAACAGTTTGATCTTTCCAAGGTTTACTTTTAAGTTTTGCTAGGTAGACCCAGAGCAGACTTTAGTCTAAAGGTAATTAGGCCCTACAAGTGAAGCAACACCTTCTGAGCACTCTAATGGCTCTTACATTACAAGGTTTTCTACTCTGGATGGTTGGAACATGGCTAATACCCAGCCTTGTATGAGCATCAAGATTGTTTTGCAGATTCTGTTCCTGTATGTTCTGGTGTTTTCCTCATATCCATGGAGCAAGCGGTACTCGGCTGAAGACTCTTTGCCAGGAATCCTCTGAAATTCTCTGGAGTTTCTCTGTGTGTATTTCTCTACTCTTCATGCATCTCTCTCCTGCTTCATACTATACCTTGTGAATTGTACAAGAAATGGCCTTCCCTTACTCACGTGTTTCTTCTCAAATCAGGGAGAATGATATGCTCGTATTTGTCCATCCCTATCTTGCAGGCTGAAAATACTGCCATCGTAGAAACAGTTTTCACATTTATTTCCTTTTCAAGATCACTGTCCTGCACTGCATGTTGTTTAGTGTCTGAAAATCATTGTTTCATATGTTTTGTCCAATTTTTAAATAAGGAAGGAAGATAAATCCTGCCCATTTTACTCCATAATGGCTAGAAGCGGTTCTCTTCAGTTTCTTAAAATTTTCTATTTCATTCTTGCTTAGTTTTTTAATTTGCTTTAAGAAGTCTGTTTCCAATTATATTCTGCTTCATATATAATTTATTTGATCTTTTAGCTAGAGATGTGGATTTTTTTTTTTAAATTTTGAAAGTCTGTTACAATACATCTCAGAGTTGATCATTGTAAGTCACTTTATCATGTGGCCAATTATCCCTTTTGGTGTGTGGAACTCCAGGAAGTGTACTTGGATTATGTTTTTAAATATTTTTTCTACTATTTTGTTTTTCTTTCCAAGATCTCCAATTGTATGTTCTCTGGACTTTTTTTGGGTCTGTTTTCCATTTCATCTCCTTTTCTCTGATGGTCTTTAATTTTTTTTCTTTTCTCATTTGGTAATTTTCTTGCTTTTTCTTTGCTCTTCATGACTTTTGTATGTAATTTTGATCTTCCTTGGACTCTTTGTAAACTTTTTCTTCCACTTTCATATAATTTTGTCTTTTTCTTCATTTTCATTCCACCCTGAGTTTATTCAACTCATTCATTTCTTCCTTTACATTTTTTAAAATATAATTTCTTATTCTAGTTTTAAAATGTATGATTTGGATACAAATGCTCATGTAATCATATTTCATTCATTATTATAATTTGTTTATAGTTTCTGAGTTTTGTTTGCTTGGGGTCTGTTATCACCTAAAATGTTTGGAGTCTCATTTTCTTTTTTTTGTCTCATAGTTGCATTGATGAAAACAATATCTTTGCATTCATGGACATTTCGCCTGTTTGCAATACTTTATAAAATTCCTATTCAAGAATACCCTCTTCTGTTGGGGAAGCCAAGTGCAATTTATTTAATGGATGAAATGCTGGCAAGTGCTAGGTGGGAAGGAATTAGTTTTTTATTTGCTCATATAAGAGCCTATGTTTCCCACTCTTCTTTTTCCTCCTAATAACCAGTTTCCAAAAGGTGTCTCTACCTACCTTTTCTCCTGTCTTCTACCTCTAAAGCATTATTTCCCAGGACTGGCTCCTTGACTTTTGTGTTCACATTAAGTCTTCTCTTTGTAGGTCAGTGTTCTTATTTGCCAGAGCTTGTTTTTTTTTTTTTTTTTTACATTTAGTCCTCCTAGTCTCTCTTCCATGCATTTTTTTCCGACCTTCCTAGCACTCTTAAAAGAGTTGCTGTGGGAGTCACAGAATAGGTTCTGTTGGAAAGTACTTTATATTTTTCTTCTTAAAGGTAATTTGAGGTTTATTGTATATCTTGTCTTCTGACTGAAAACATAGGATTTTTGTGGTTTTATTTATTCTTAACATGTTAATTAATGTAGCTTTTCGGGATGATATGTGGGGAGATTTAGGTTTAGGCAACTGTTAATATTTCTATTCCCTGAAACCCTGGTGGAAAATCTGGCTTTTTTGAGAACAATTAATATTTTTAGATGCTTTAACTAAAAAGCTAATTTTAGTCATTTTCTTGAATCAGGAAGTATTGTGGCATGTGACATAGTATTTGACCTTTTAAAATGGCAGGGCTTTGCAAATAAGGGACTTTGGAATTTTATTCTTTCAGATAAGAGCATGTATTTCTGTAGCAGAAGAGTTCTATTTTTCATGTAAATTGTGAATTCCAAATTGTTCTTACACCTATGTGTGGGATGTCTATAATGTTAGGTTAAAGTTGCTACATAATACCTTTTAGTGCTTTAATGAAATAGTGAATTATTGTTACTTGACCTTTTGAAAAGGTCAGTAGTACATTTTGTTTCATTTTTTTAAAGGACATTTAAATGTAATGAAAGTCAGAACTGTAATATTACCATGAAAGTAAAGGTTATGGGGTACATTTAATTGTGTTCCTCTGTTTTTGAAACTGCTTTGAGGTAGACTGCTAAAATTCCACATGGTAATTGTTTTTTGAGAATTTTATTACTCTTTTTCATTTTATTCTGTTGGAGTAAAAGATTACATTTCTGTCTGTCTTTTTCTGCTATTTTTGCTCAAATTTCATGTGTATTGTCCTATTTAAGTTACAAAGTTTAAACTACTTACCCATTCACTTTTCCAAGAAAGTAAAATGTAATAAATGCCTCAGAGGTCTTTCTTCTCTTAGAAAGATTCTTGAATGAAATTCTGTTTGTTCAAATACATAGTTAATATGTTACTGATATCTTTAAAAAGTTAGAGGCCCACTAATGGGAGAATTAAATATACTCTGATTAATAAAATTATTTTACTTATGTCTGTATATTTAGATTGTGTAACTAAATATATTTTCATTTTATTAAAACTTAGAAAGTTGAAAACATGAAGCCTGTGTTATGTTATAGATCCTTAATTTATATTTTGATTTTTTTCTTCCATTTTAAAGCAATTTGAAGGAATTTCTTTTTTCAGAAATTTATTTCCTAAGAAATAACACTGAAATTTTTTTCTGTGGGCCTGTGTTAACAATTTTGTAATATGTCTTGTGTTTATGAGTGACTTTCTCTTTAAAAACAAAATCTTATCTGAGTGTTTTGATTTCCCAGTAACTACAAAGTTTCCGTAAGCCAGTTTTGAGTTATTTTCCCTCAAATGCAATATTCTGTTGCTTATATTTTGACAAGTATAAACATGTGGATACATTTGATACCTTTTAGGAAATAAAGGAAAACATTTTCTTTTCTATATGATTCTCTGTTTAACTTCTCTTAGCATTAAATGAAAGATAAAAATTTGAGTGTTCCTTTTCAATATTTTCCACAGGGAAGAGACTTCCATCTTAGAATAATGTTGCCTGAAGATTTACAACTGAAGAATGCAAGGTGATGTGGTGTTTAGTTATAAATGTGCATTTTTGCGTTTTGGTGGGACAGGCAGTGCATTTGGTATAAATTGATTCTAGTGACTAGAGTTTTGCCTAAAATGCATATAGTCATTCGCCCCAAAAGAAGCATCTCTGATTTTTCCAAACCAATGTGGCTTTTAAACATTAGTTCTTTCATTTTTTTTTTAATTTAAAGCAGTAAACAGCAGTTGTGTACGCTTCACTAACCAATACTGAACAGATATATAAGGGGACAATACCAAAGGAGTAGAAAATCTTTTTTCCAACTTTTGACTGATATTATTAATGTGTATATTCATTCTATGGGAAGACCCACATCAGTTCATTCCTGGCATAAATTAGGTACCAATATTGAATGTTGATAGATATAACTAGTCAGCATATGGGACTGAAAATTTAGGTACCACCCCAAAATCTCAATTCTGTTTCTAATTATTTCTGTAGAAGAATGGAGGAAAAGGAATCCAGAGATATTTATGAGTAGAATTGAGAGGATTTTGTGACTGATTAAAGTGTAGGTAGGAGGAGAAAAAGGAATAGAAGATGCTTTTCAAGTTCCTGACTCCGATCACTAAGCTACAGAAGACGTCACAGATGGAGAAGTAGAAGAGAGATTGTTTTAAGGCATATTGGGTGTGAAATATCAAGGGGAGCTATTTAGTAGGTAGTAACGTGTTGGTGTGAAACTAGTGTGTGAGACCTGGAGTGTGGATGTATGTGAAAGTTACAGTAGATGAAGGTTTTGGGACCTTGATTATGAATAGGCTTTTTGGTGCCTGTATCTGGACAGGAGGGGAGTGAAAGAGAAGGCCAGTGACAAGACCTTGGGGCATACCAACATTTAAAGGACTGGTCACTAAAGAGGAAGTTAGAAGGAGACTAAGGATTGACCAGAAAAGAGGAAAATTTGGACAGCAGAGTCAAGTCAAATAGAGAGAGGCTTAAGCAGAGCATGGTTAGCAGTGCTGAGGATTGCGAAGAGATAGGTTAGATGCGAGTAAGTTTTGTGTGGTGGATGAAGCCATATTGGATTTTGGACTGGATGAGTTGGTAGAAAGGAATGGAAACAGTATAAACGATTTTGAAGAAAAAGATGGTTAAAGAATGGTATGCATTCAAGGAGAAGTTATGTTTTTCAAAGATAATATATATTTGAACAAGTTCATTAAGGAGAAAAAACTAACAGAACATAAATTAAGGATACCACAATAAAGGGATAATTAATTGAAGTGACCAAGTTGGTAGCAAGGGATAGAGAGCACATTTCGAGCCCAGTTACCAATGGACATTTGAATGAACTACTCTGCCACTAACAGTGGAGACAGGGATGGGTTTGGGGGTTTTAAGACCAAGAATGGAGAGAGTTGTGATGATTTGAAAAGGCCATGTTGGGAAAAACTCAAGACAGGCTTCCTACTTGTAGGTAAGTAATTTTTAGAAAAGTTACTTAGCAGTATTGGGAGCACAGCTGAGGTGAGCCCGTAAGTGGATGAACATTAACTTATCACTTCTTATACAATTAATTAAAAGTATGTATCCTACTAGCCAGGCTTTGTGGTGGGTATCTATAGTCCCAGTTACTTGAGAGGCTGAGGTGGGAGGATTTCTTGAGCCCAGGAGTCCAGGTTGCAGTGAGCTATTCTTCTACTGCAGTCCAGCCAGCCTGAGTGACAGAGCGAGACCCTGTCTCTAAAGAATTAAAAAAAGTATCTTTTTAGTTATCTTAATCAGGAATTTGAAGATTATATTGCTACTCATGCTTTTTCAAATACATGTTGGATACATTATATTTGATGATATATTATTATCAAACTATTTTATTTACCCTACCTTGGAAAATAATCTACTTCAGTAGAAAACTTTGCTTTGGATATGTTAAAGTTAAAAAACCAGATATACTGTTTGCATGTAATTTACTGATTGCAGTTATTTATATTTTGAAATGAAAATAGTACTGACAGTTTGAAGATAAAACTTTCAACAGTATCAGTGGTAAAAATTTTATTAACAGAATTATGCTTGTCATTTTTCTGTATGTACATGTATGTTTGTGTTAGCATACAAATAAGTTTTTCCTTTTATTTCTGAACAGTGAAGAAACCATTTTGTCTCATTAAAACTTTAGATTATTATGCAGTTGGCAGCTGAGAACAATACTTAATGGATACCATCAAATAGTACAACAGGTAAGTCCTTTTTAAAAGGTTTATGTTTTAAGTGAGGATAAGAAATTACAAAATTTATTGTTCTTTAAAGACCTGCTTTGCAGAATGTTGTAACAAACTGGTTTAATAGTTGTTGAGTTTTGTAGCTTTCATCTCTGTGTGTTTTTAAATTTCAGTATCTGCAGGAGATGTCCATGTAGCCTTTGTGTTGAAACTGATTTCCATTCTTGAGACATTAGGTTCTTCAAATCCATTCACCCTTATCTATATCCATCACTTCTTGAGTGATTTTTCTTCTGAGGCTGAATGGCGGTGATAGGGAAAAAAAAAATCAGACCCATTTAGAGCTGTGGGATATCTGTGGCAAATATGGGATTTTAGCCCTAGATTTTAGCAACAGCAAAGGTGTGGTAGAAATAATTTAGGATCATGTGTACTTGCAAAATAAGAGGAGATAAAGACTGCTTAGTTGGGATAATAGGCAGGATTAATTTCTTCTTAATGTTTAGGTTCCTCTACCTGAAAATTCCTTTAAAGATTAGAAAAAAAATCAGTTACTGAAGCAAAATAAAGACATACTACAATTCCTCTTTTAGATAATAGGTGTTAGAATTGCATTTCTGTTGGTGCTTTATGCATTTGTATTTTTTTTTCTGATTTCCTGTATTTCTCTGTCTTAAAGGCCGGTTATTATCTATGATAATTGACAATCACAGTCACTCTCCCATAAAGCATTACTGAGCTGCAAAGAAGTATAGGAGATAAACTATTTGATTTGTAGAATGAAGGTTGTCACCCTGGTAATATTACATAAATTTTTTTAAGGATATGTTCAAATTATTTCTCTGTTTTCTTTTCACTTCTCTCTTTATCCCCTTGACTATTTAAATTGTACACCAAAATTTAAGAAATGAATCTATTGACATATTTAAATAGCATGGAAAAAAATGGTTAATGTGGTGTAATAGTAAGATTTATTACTCTGTTTTTCTCCACCAAGTCATCAAGAGGATTCCTAGAAAAAAAACCCAATTATTTATTTTCCCTTGCCCCCCAATTGGTCAGGTAGAACCCAGTGTTAGTTTAAGTCTTCTTTTTATTTCAAAGTCCCAGTGAATATTACTACTCTTTTGTTGTATCATTTTTAATTTTAGTAAATATGGGCCAGGGAGTCAACAAACTTTTTCTGTGAAGAACCAGATAATAAATTTTTCAGGCTTAGTAGGCCATAAAATCTCTGTTGTAGGTACTCAACTCTGCCCTTACAGCAACCATAGACAAGAGGTAAGTGAATAGGTATGGCTACATGACAAGAAAATTTTGTTTACAAAAACAGTATTGAGCTGGATTTGGCCTCTGGGCTTTAGTTTTCAGACCCTCCCAGACCCTGTCATTTATTGATCTCCTGTAATAAACTAAGGGGAAAATACAATATAGAAGAAAGGATAGGCAAGGATTTGCTCTACATACACCCACTCAAAGCTATGTTAAGATGTGAATCATATGTGTTCATGCCTTGTTGAAAACAGTGTAAAACTTGAGAATTTTCTTGGCTTTCTTTTTTTTTCTATAGTTATTTTAAGAATGAAGGATTTCTAGGAAATGGAATAACTTATTTATTCTACATTAGAAATTATTTCCTTTTTGCCATTTTATTATAACAGTTTTTACTTTAGTGAATGATTGTCTCCATTTTTACTCATGTATTAGTTGTGAGAGATCAAAAATCACAACCATAGGTAGTTTTTAAGGTCAAGAGAAAAGTAAAAGCTATTGTTAATCAATGATTGCTAATTTATTGCTGTAACTAGATTTTAAAAATTATATGGAGTTGACTGATTTTTATATTTTATATTCCTCTTCGCACTCACATCACTCCTATACTTCTTTCTTTTTTTCTCTTCCTCCTCTTTCTCCTCTTCTTCTTCTTCTTTAAAAAAAATAATGATGAGGCTGCTAGATTTGCTAGACATGGTAGTGATAAAAGGGCGTCAGGGCAGTGCTGGATAGAGAAGAATGGGTCCCTGGTGAGGGCTCCACCCACGGACCTAGGTGAGAAAAGGCACTCCTGCCTTCACACTCAAATGTTGCATTTCTTAAGACCACCCCGGCCTGCCATACCCCCATCCTGTGCCTATAAAATCCTGAGACCCTAGCAGGCATACACATACAAGCGGCTGGATATCAAGAGAAACCTATCAGTAGAGGAACATATGAGCGGCTGGACATGAACAGCATGTCAAGAGCACACCGACAGGCTCCATGCCGGCAGGCCATTGACTGGCAGAATGAAGTGGAGTTTAGCCTGGGTGATTGGAGAGCCTGGGCCGCTGAGCAGTCTGGCTCCAGGGGAAAACCATCTCCGTTTTGGCTCTCACATCTGCTGAGAGCTACTTCTCTTCAGTAAAACCTTGCACTAATTCTCCAAGCCCACATGTGACCTGATTCTTCCCATACACCAAGGCAAGAACCCTGGGATATGGAAAGTTCTCTGTCCTTGCAATAAGGCAGGGGTCTAATTGAGCTGACTAATACAAGCTGCCTATGGAAGGCTAAACTAAAAGAGCATCCTGTAACACACACCCACTGGAGTTTCAGTAGCTGTAAATATCCACCCCTAGACATTGCCGTGGGGTTGGAGCCACAGCCTGCCCGTCTGTGTGCTCCCCTAGAGGTTTGAGCAGCGGGGCACTGAAGAAGCCAGCCAGACCTCCTTTGCATCTCTGCGATGGGGACAAGGGATGTAGTAGTAAACAGTGCTCAAGGAACAGAGCAGTGTGTGAGGTTTTAAGTGACATTCTAACACAGTTTAATATATCTCAGCAAAATAGTTTTGATGGCATTAATTATTCTTTCAAAATGAAATTGGTAGTAGTAGTAAGGTTGATGACTTCATTTCTTATATTTTTGCTAATCTTTTTTTCATATTCACTTGGGCCTAAGTTTTATTACATTTTAGTGAATAGAATATTTATTGTGCAAATGAAATTAATTGGAAATGTTTTGATCTAGAGAATGCGGCACTCTCTTGATCTAATGAGCTTTATGATGGAGTTGAAGATGCTTTTGGTAAGAATTTTTTTTCTGGCCCTGTTACCAAACTGTAAGTCTTGATTTCATTTCTGTAACTCCTTTAAAAACTAACATTAGAATTTATCTTCTTAACTCTGAGTCATTTAATGTTTTCTTTTACTGTGTACATAAATGTAGATGATATATTGCTTGAACCGCATGAGGGACATGACTGTATGAAGGAACCATTTTGATTGTATCACAGACTAGGTACTCTTGATACTAGTGTTGGGCAGGTTGTGAAGAGATAAAATGCACTCTTGGCCTGTCAGAGAGTTTAACATCTAAGGAGAGATTAGGTAGTCCCACTTAAAGGTATAATATGATGTATAAATAATTTTGTATATAGCTCCAGATATCTGAAAAACTTATTAGGCTTCATTTCATATATACTTTTACATACATACTGTTTATTAAATTAATCAGTGTTGCGTAAGATACTTGATTATTTTGTTTATCCTGTAGACATTTTATTATTTTCTTAAAACCCAAGTTTATTTTATTCCCCAAGTTTTCAACATAAACCAGAGAGAAGATTATAGCAAATACTGCTGGGACTGACCAAATTTTAACATTTTGCCAATCATAGTTCCTCTTTCTACTTTTTTTTTTTTTTTTGAGACAGAGTCTTGCTCTGTTGTCCAGGCTGAACCACAATATTGGCTCACTGCAACCTCCTCCACTGGGGTGTCGGCAGTTCTCTGCTTCAACCTCCCGAGTAGCTGGGATTGGAGGTCCCCACCACCATCCCCGGGTAATTTTTATATTTTTAGTAGAGACAGGGTTTTACCATCTTGGCCAGGCTGGTCTCGAACTCCTGACCTTGTGATCTGTCTGCCTCGGCCTCCAAAAGTGCTGGGATTACAGGTGTGAGCCACTGCACCTGGCTTCTCTTCTACTTTTTTTTAGAAGAAAGACACTGTAGTATTTTTTTTCTATGCTTTAAGTTCTGGGATACATTTGTAGAACATGCAGGTTTGTTACATAGGTATACAAATGCCATGGTGGTTTGCTGCATCCATCCCCCCATCATGTGTATTAGATATTTCTCCTAATGTTATCCCTCCCCAATCCCCCCACCCCCTGCTGTCCCTCCGCTAGCTCCCTCACCCACTGACAGGCCTCGATGTGTGATGTTCCCCTCCCTGACACCGTAGTATTTTAAAGGAAATTCTGGACATTGTATGTATCCCTCTGTAAATATGTTAGTGTATATCTCTTAACAACTAAGTGCTTTTTATCTGTTTTTAAATATACTATTGTAATCTCAACAAAATTAATCATTTCTGATAGCTACTTTGTTTGTACTAGTATGCAAACAAGGTCCACACATTATATTTAGTTGATATGTCTCTTAAGCCTTATATAAGACTTATAAGATACTTATATATAACAGCATCTCCTCTTTACCTCACCCTTTTTATTCATGCCATGCATTTGTTGAATAAAACAAATTATGTGTTCTATAAAATCTTCAATATTCTGGATTTGGCTTGTAGGATATTCATGGTTTATCTTTTAACACACTTCTTTACTCTCTTTGTAATCTGGCAGTAAGATCTAGAGGCTTCAGCAGATTTGGATTCATTTGTTTGATTACTTGGTGCTCTCTATTTATATTACATTAGGACATGCATGATATCTGATGGTTCCGCTTTTAGTAAATTTAAGATTGATCAGTAGGTTTAGATCCATTTAGTATAGTTTTCCATCAGCCTATCGCCCAATGATTTTAGTATCCAGTAATAATCATTATTGCCTATATCTACTATTTTATTAGGATTTACAAATGATAATTTAAAAAATTCCATCATCTGCACTTATTAGTTGAAAATCTTCTATAGAGAAGAACTTCTCATCAGTTTGGTTAATTTGAGATATGGTTTGGCCGGGCGCGGTGGCTCAAGCCTGTAATCCCAGCACTTTGGGAGGACGAGGCAGGTGGATCATGAGGTCAAGAGATCGAGACCACCCTGGTCATCATGGTGAAACCCCGTCTCCACTAAAAATACAAAAAGTTAGCTGGGCATGGTGGCGCATGCCTGTAATCCCAGCTACTCAGGAGGCTGAGGCAGGAGAATTGCCTGAACCCAGGAGGCGGAGGTTGCAGTGAGCCGAGATCGTGCCCTTGCACTCCAGCCTGGGTAACAACAGCGAAACTCCGTCTCAAAAAAAAAAAAAAAAGAGATATGGCTCATACTGGAGAGCTGGATAAGGGCTTGTTTCTCTTCCTTTTAAAACAGAAACCAATTTTTAGAATAATGAGTTGGTGCCTAGCAACTGTAAGAGGGATCTAAAGTTTTTTTGTTTCTTTTTTTCAGTATCTTTATGAACTCATACATTTTTATATATTTAATTAAATTTCATTCATTGTAGTCATTTTCTTTTTTATGCTTAAATTGTCCCATTTTTTGGTCAGTACAAGCCTCTTCATGTTGACTACTGAGTTCTTTTAATATAATCCAAGTTTCTTTGCCTTCTGATACCAGTTGCCCTAGGCTCATTTATTCCTCTTATCCCATAACTTTAATCAGCCATTTATCCCAAGAATCATGATTTCTTTGTGGGAAATCGTATTTGGATGCCTTAGTCTGGAAATTTGAGTGTTCACTGCTATTATTTCTAAATCTTTTCAGTGGACAAAGCTAGGAAGAAATACTTTTTGGAAAGAATATAATTATGAGTTTCTATTGATATTTGCAATTCAGATTTGGGATTATAGGGCTTTTACTTCTTCACTTGTATGTCTTTTACTCTGAAAATGCTATTTGCTAATGATGCTGACATCATTATGTTTTTTGCTATGTTCTGCTTGTTCTGTTTCATTGACGCTTTTCTTGTCTATATGTTTATGTTTATATAAAAATTGCAATACTAATATTGCTAACAGTGGAAAGTTTTGCTATTTCTTTGTGAATCTTGTTGTTGAGATCATTTTATTCTTAGCAGCTACTACATATTGATAACTTATTTGCTATATATTTTTTCTTGAGTCATTTTTTAATGCTAATAACCTAAGATAGGACTTTGATTAAATATGTGAGATTGGAATAGTAGTGTAAAGTTAATTTCTAAAGTTTGAATTTTGATTTGAGTTTATAAATCCTAATTAATAAGGGTTATCAAAATTGATTACAAATTACATCAAAGGCCTTAATGCAATAACATTAAAAAGGCAAAGTAAACAGGTGAAGCATATTTGGTTCACATCTGCTTGACATTGGAGAAAAGTTTGAAACATTTATTTTATCTTTTTATTATAACTTTAATAAACTACACAAATACAAGGAAAGACTAAGGGAATCAGAGTAAAAATATAGATACCATGTCCTATTAAATTATTCCTATCAAAAATACCTTTATTAAGTTTTAAGTTTAGGTTAAAACTCAAATAAAATTTTAAGATCTCTGATGTACAGTATCTATTTAGTACATTCATTCCATTTCTGAATAAAAATAGTATATTTTAGCTTTGTTCAGAAATTATGGACAAAGTTGGTGATTTTATTGCTCATTTAAGATAGCATACCTAAAAATATAAGAATTATTAGTGTACCTTTACTAATAGGGTTCCTATACTATAATCACCAATGAATATGTTGAGAGCGATACTCAAATGGAATTAGTAGTTATTGAGCTTATTTAGGAAATGTTGTAAATCTTCCATGGAGTTTCCTGGTAATAACTATCCATATAGTGGGGGTTCAGTATATATTTAATAAATGAATAATTACCTATATTTTAAAATAATCCTATGAGGTAGGTTATTTTATTTCTGTTTTGGAGCTGAGCCTAAGGCCTAAGGCCTAAGGCCTCAAAATAGGAATTGTTAAAGTCAGGATTTAAAATGTTTGTTTGTAAAGCCTTTCTGCTATGTACCTTTGCCTCCTTTTCTATGAAGAATGTGTTGCTTCTCTGCTTTTGCCTTTTTACTTGTTATGGTTCTAGAGTAGGAGTAACTTGCCTGACTTAAAATAGAAGATAGAGTTTATAAATGTCATAAACCTAGGATTAAAAAGTATTTTTACTGTTATCCAGGTTTATTTTTACCTTTAATTTTGTGGATAGCAGTAATATTTCAGAATAAAAACAGAAATTTCAAAGTGTACTATATTAACTTAATGCATTTTATTTAATGATAGTACAGCACCATCTTAATAGTATTAGGTTGGTGCACAACCTAAATATGAATTTATTTTGGTGGACTATCAGTCTATTTTTAGGTAACATTAGGCATTTATACTATAAAAAAAGGCAGTATATGCCTTGTCTTCTAGGAGCTTACTCTCTGATTAAATCCATATTGATATTCTCAGCTTTATGGATCTGCTTTCACAGTTTTTTTTTTTTTATTATAAAGCAGAGTCAGAACTAAGTTGAAGTAGTTCCAGTTAATAGTTCTAATTTGGAAGTGCTGTTTTTAACATATATTCATTCTAATGTGATTTCAATATCCTATCCTCATTAAAAAAATTAACATAGGTAAAAAATAAGATTAAACATATACTTAAAAGAACAAAAATTCCAACCTTTTATTAGGATTGTATTTTTCAGAAGTGTTTATAATTTCCAACTTGTCCCTATCTAGTGTTGTTATTTATCGTGGCTGATTTAATTATTTATTTACTTTTTGTAATAGTTTTTGATACTTCAGACTATATGAACATCTAAGTAATTTGTAGATACATATATTTTTTACTTACCTTATTTGTCTAGGTTAGTAACTTCAAAATAATTGGTAATTTTAGCTTTAACAATTCTAGTGATGTTTATATATCTTATAAAAAGTTTTAGTTTTGTTTGGGAGAAACCAAACCAAATGGATAGCATAATAGCCAGATGGATAGCATAATACTTCAGCTTACTTGCTTGAAGAGTAGTACAGCGTGTAAGTCAGTGACAGAAATTAGCATGTAGATATTTATTCTGATAGTGAGGGGATTTTGTTTGTTAGGATGAGGTTCATAGTGATTCATAATCTGGTTCATAAGCTGACATACAAATATGTTAGTTTAGGTAATGTACTCAGCCTTCAGGCCGTTCTTTTGAGGTACTTAAAAAAATGTGTGTCTGTGTGTCTGTATATATATATATATATATATATGTATATATGTGTGTGTGTGCGTGTGTGTGTGTGTGTGTGCGTGTGTATATATATATATGTATCACATGTTCACGGTAGTAAAGAGATAGTGAAGACTTGAGGATAAATTTAATAAAAAGTTTTTTTAAAAATCTGATAGGCATTAGTCCAGGAGAATATTAAAATCTTAAGTTCTTTTCATGGCATAAAAATTGACATTTTACATGACCTTCACTGCAGTCCTTTAACTTTTTCTTGTCTTTTTTTTTATGAGCAGGGGAACGAGTCAGCCAGATTTTCTATTAAAAAATGGGCAATTTTGTTAGGCACTAAGAAGATAATGAAATTAGGTTTTGCAATCAGGTATTAACAGTTTGTTGTCTTGCATTCCACAGCCAATTCTGGTTTTCTTCTTTTAAACAGGAAGTTGCTTTAAAGAATAGACAAGAACTATATGCACTACCTCCTCCTCCCCAGTTCTACTCAAGCCTTATTGGAGAGATAGGAACTCTTGGTTGGGATAAGTATGTCTGTTTTAAAATATGTTTTAAAAGCCTTTGTTTTATATGTTTTAACTTAATACATTTCTAGTTTTAGCAATTTATTATACCTGATTTTAGTCAAAGTGTTTCATTGTAACTAGATCCTTATTGTTGCTGTGAAATAAAGAGAGGGATATCATCATAAAACATTGGCTTACAAAGTGAAATGCTAAGTATAATTTGGAAAAAATGACATTTTTATGTACACAGTAAGATGTTACCGTAATAGGTATTTTTCATTGAACATACAACTTTTTTTTAAAATTTTCTGTATATGAAGAGTAATGTTTAGACTTATAAAAGAGACTGGAAAAATTGCAGTATTTTTGGAATAATTCTAGTTATTTTTGGTTAATATACAATTTGGCATGTCTAAACTTATATATATATATATATGTAACATTTTAAGTGCTTTTGTAATTTGAGTAGTAAATTTTAGCAACTAGGGTTTGGAAGAATCATCTAGCTTTCTTTGAAAAAGAATGATTTCTTTGAAGAAACTAATGCATAAAGAAACTTCAGTAGACATGTATGCAAGTTGTTAAAATTTAATCTATTATACCACCTGGAAAAAATATGATGATTTCCTTGCTATTCAGTTTCTGAATTTAGCTTCCTTCTGAGTGTGGATACTTGAAACATTGCATTTATCATTAGGTATATTATAACCTTTCTACTTTGAGCTAAAGCAGCAGTAAAGATATGCCAATTTAGTTCTTATCACTTCTTAACCAGTATCAATAGTATTTTAGTATTCATTTATTATTTCCATTTAGATTGCTCCATTACTAAGATAAATCAAAGGCTGACATAGTTACAATGGGAAACGAATGTGCAGTTTTTTACCACTAAGTGTTTCTGAATATGTTTTAAATATCTTATTCATCTGTTTGTTGTTTTTTAGCTATTTTTATGAGTTGGCCTTTTGATAATCAACCTAAAAAGAACCAGAAAATAAAATCGCCATTTAAAAGAGAACAAGAAACATATCTAAGTGCAGAATATATGTCCTTTAATATATTTTATACCAGGCCGGGCGCGGTGGCTCAAGCCTGTAATCCCAGCACTTTGGAAGGCCGAAGCGGGTGGATCACGAGGTCAAGAGATCGAGACCATCCTGGTCAACATGGTGAAACCCCGTCTCCACTAAAAATACAAAAAATTAGCTGGGCATGGTGACGCGTGCCTGTAATCCCAGCTGCTCAGGAGGCTGAGGCAGGAGAATTGCCTGAACCCGGGAGGCGGAGGTTTCAGTGAGCCAAGATCGCGCCATTGCACTCCAGCCTGGGTAACAAGAGCGAAACTCTGTCTCAAAAAAAAAAAAAAAAAAAAAAAAAAAAAATATATATATATATTATACCATTACCTGATAACTAAAGAGAAACTAGTCTTAAACATATTTTAGAGCTCCAACGTATTCCTATATAAATTTGTTTCTAGAAGTGATAAAAATGCACTGTGATTATTAGAGAAAGAAGCAGAATTATTTTCTTTGTCTTTGCCTTCTACTTCCCTTTATATTCCTTAAGAGACATTTACTTAGAACAGTTTCTCTTCTTATCTATAGATAATTTTTTTGTTTTGTTTTGAATTACTAAAATTTGACTGAGTAGGCCATACTTCTTTTGGTGTACCTATGTGCAGAGATAGGTTAGCCATTCCTCCAGTCATAACTTTAGGTAGATTAATTTTTTATAAATACTTCTTTACCTTACTGCCTTTCTGGTTAGTAGTCAAAGTGTGTGTGATCTGTACTTAAGAGTCAAGTTATTTAAATACTGGTCTTGATAAAAATTTCAGCCTCAGATTTCAGCTGTTAAAATCTTACTAAAATGATTGCATGTAATAATGTTTCACTGTAGATGGACTGCTTAAAGTCTCTGTAATCTTATTTTATGTTTTCTCAATTTTACTCGTTGATTTTAGAACTGAACTATTTTCTTTTGCTCTCTAGTATCATTGCTCTTAAGGATGGCATTGACTTGGGTTAAAGGATGTCATATGACATAGCCCTAAGATACACAATAGGGATTTTATGTTTGAATGTCTTGCATTTTATGATACAGTACTATCTTTATGAGATGCCATGAAAGAAGTTTTATCCTATTTCATCCTATTTCTGATGCCAGAAAAGTCATGCTTTGCCTGACTATTAATAATGTAAACTTAATTAATAATGTAAACTATGTAATTGACTATGTTCTCTTTGACTTGGCCTCTAAGAAAGTTAGAGTCAAATTTTTGGCACACTTTTTAGAGCCATGCTGGATATAGTGGATATAGGATTTATATTTCTCTTTATTTTTTTTTTTTTGAGACGGAGTCTTGCTCTGTTGCCCATGCTGGAGTCCAGTGGCGCCATCTTGGCTCACTGCAACCTCTGCCTCCCGTGTTCAAGGATTTCTTCTGCCTCAGCCTCCTGAGTAGCTGGGATTATAGGCACATGCCGCCATGCCCAGTTAATTTAGGATTTATATTTCTGCATGCTAATCTTATCCTGACTTTTGTTCTCTTGTTCAAATCAAGGGCATATGTTATCTATGTGACTCATCACTGTTGATCTTGATTACCTGATTGAGGTAGTATTTGTCAGGTTTCTGCATTGTAAAGCTACTGTTTTTGCCCTCTTTCCATGCTGTACTCTTGGGAAGCCACTCTGTATAGCCTATACTTAAGGAGTGGGCAGTTATGCTCACCTCCTTTAGGGCAGAGTATTTACACAGATTTGTAATTTTTCTGCTCAGATTTTGTTCTCTCTGATTTATTTATTTTTTTCAGTCATTTATTTGAAATACTGTGAACTCATGGAATATTTGTTTTATACTTTGGGTTGTAATCTAATACTATTTTATTTTCTTGCTCAGTTTGTTCTAGCTTTGGCCATTGAGAGCTCATTCATTTGTCTTCTTTGTCCTTTTGACATGCCCCATAATTAATTGTGGAGATCTATATATATCTCCACAATTATATGTGTGTGTTTATATATATGTATATACTTTGTTTACTTTGTTATAACTATGCAAGCTAAGTATATATATACATATATATGCATACGTGTGTGTGTGTGTGTGTGTGTGTGTGTGTGTTTGTGTATAATTGAATATTTCCTTACTTTCTGGGACTGGAAGAAATTTTATATATTTCCTGCCCTTGTCCTAGAATCAGCCATTTTTCCAAGGAGTACTAGTTGCTTTTATTTGTGAGTGGTATTAGAAACCGGGATGTAGTTTCTATGGGTGCTTTTTGCTATTGGTGTGTTGTTGTTTCTGGGCCTTCTTAGCTGAAAACAGGAAAAAAATATGTTTTTACTAAATCGTGTGTACATATCTGTAAATTTTTTTTTATATAACCATTGGTGTCTATATTAAGGTAAACATGAGTTTATACTGATGTCTGCAACTCCAGTTGCAGACCACATGTGGTTTTCTATCCCACTTGCTTGGTATATCTGAAATTCCATTACCACATGTGGTTTTCTATCCCACTTGTTTGGCATATCTGAAATCTCATACTCCAATAGGGACAAATCCAGTTCCTATTATCTGTTATCCATTTACTTAATTGTTCAGTTGTAGTATACATGCAGAGCACTATCATAATTATTAACCTGTACCTCCCTGGGTAACAGCTTTATCAACTATACAGTGCCTGTTTTTACAGATTTTTTTTTTTTTTTTTTTGCCTTTAGTGTTATAGGCTTCACTCATTTTCACAGTTACTTAGGTTAGAACTCTTTTCTCCACTCTCTTCAATGTACTTCTTTCCCATATTTGTAACACAGATTGTTTTGTCACATTCTACATTTCATCCTGCATTCATTTGAAAAAATGATTTTAGGATATATAGTGATGCCACCATTTTCTTTCCAGATGATGTTTTTGTGTCTTTTTAATTTTTCTTCATCAGTTTTGCAAGAGCCATATCAATTTTTTAAGTTTTCTCAGACTCAACTTTTAGCGTTGTTAATTTTCTCTGTATTTTTAATCATTAATATCTGCTTATTAAGAATTTAATTCTTTAGATTTGCTTCCTTTGTAATTTCCCGAGATAGATATATAGGTCCTTGAATTTTTTTTCAATTTATCTTACTTTATTATATATTAATTTAATGCTATAAATTTATAAGCAATTTTAGGTAGATCCCATAATTGATGTTATAGTCTTATTAGCAGTTAAAACTATTAATTTTCTTGTGATTTCTTTTGGCTTATTTTGTGTATCACTTAATTTTCAAACAACTGGAGATCTTTGGGCTATTGAGTTCCAGTTTAACTCTACTTTGGTCAGAAATCATGCTTTTAATTATCTTAATACTTTGAAGTTTACTGGGACTTGCCTTATGGCTCGGCACCTTGTCTAAGTATGTGTTCTATTTCCACTTAAAAAGCTTATGTAATCTCTTGCTAGGTACAGTGCTTTACTTTATGCATTCCTCACATTTTTAAATTATGTGTGTCAGATATCTTATATGTTCAATTATTTTTTTATTTTTTTGTCTGCTTGTCGTAAGATCTCTGGAGAGAGCTCTGTTAAATTCTCCCAGTATGATTTTGAATTTTTGGAATTAATTTTGTTCTCAGAAATTTTGCTTTATGTCTACTTGCAGTCATGCTATTGGTTGCTTACACATTTATAATTGCTATATCTTCCTTGTTGTTTTCCCTTTTTTTATTAGGACATGTTTCTTTTCATCTCTAGTAATATTGGTATCTTAATGTTTACTTTGTTATAACTATGCAAGCTAAGTAGTTACATAATTTAAAAATTTCTCTTTACCATTTGCATCTTTTAACTATGCAAGCTAAGTAGTTACATAATTTAAAAATTTCTCTTTACCATTTGCATCTTTTAAAACAGATTTTAATGCTTCATTGAAATTCTTTATCTTTTTCTCTATTTTCTTTCATAGTTTTGAAATATTTTTCTTGCTAGCAGCCCCCAGACCCTGGAAGAGGCAAGGAATGGATTCTCTCCTAGAGCCT